ATCTCTGAAGGGAATGGATGATGCATGCCTATACAAATATCTCCCCATCTCCCCCCCCCCCCCTATGCCTCCAGAAAAATTACGCGCCATCGCCATTGGAGCAGTGCTACTGCTTTTAAAAGTCAAATGGAAGTACAGTTTTTGTTGCATGACTTCATTGAAAGGTGCGTAGTGCTAACAGCGAGTCTTTATTAAGAAAGAAGTTATTTATTAGTTAGTTATTAGTTATTTTTAAGTTATCTTGACAATCAACATTAATCGATAATGGCAAAAGGCTAGAAAATTCCCAAGTGATGGTGAACCTTGAACAATGAAACACTTCGTGAAAAATATACGCTTATCACACGGTTGACTTTTTTAGCTAAACATCCAGGCAGGGTTGGACTACGGAGAAAAAATAGAGAATACCATCTCCTAACTTTGCAGAGCATGACAGAATTGATAACTTTGCCACAATGAGGGCGACTCTACATAATTATTCAATTATTGAGCTTTGCTGGAAAATGTTCATTATAACTTAACCAAAGTTTCTGAAAAGCGCTATATTTCTGATCGCAAAAAACAATAGAAACCTAGTGCATTTTTTTGTACCCTATTCTGTGTTGCAAATCAGCGGTTTTTATACGTGAACGTCATCCTATGACGAATCTTTATGCGCAAGTAGAATGAAGCATTTGCATGCATGTAATCGTGAAGGTGCTTTTTGTCTGAGAAATGAGAACAAAAAATCAAATAATGCAACAAAGGCTTTTCGCATGATACGCAAAAAATGGGGCTTAGATTGAGGGATATTACTTTTTGCAGTTACTTTGTGGACTTTTCAGATAGCTGGAATCTTTTTATTTTCGTTTTTTACGTCAAAGTTCGATTTCCTTGGTGCAGTTCGGCTGAAATAGTTTTCCAATTTTACTCTAAGATTTTACTTTAAGGCCTCTCCCTTTCCCCCCGAAAACATTTGGATTTCTGAAAACTGTTTTATTGGGATTCAGTGTGCTGATTTGATAAATCCTTCAAAAATTCCCTTACAACTAGCTTGATAAATCCGAACAATGTGGAAAACCTCTAAGAAAAATCGTGTTGTTGCGTATGAATCTAAAAAAATCCCGCTCTCCTCTCCCTCTTCCCCCCTCCCCCCCCCCCCCTTGATCCCTCAGTAGAAATATCTGCTACCAGCACTGCTGGTGAAATTCAAATTTTAATTTGTAGGATCTTCACATGTAACCGAAACAATCAAAAATAGCTTCACTCCTGATATCAGGTATTTTCAATTCTTGGAGATGATTAGTGTCACTCTATTAATAAAAGTTAGAGCTCTTGCGTCGAGTTTGAATGTTATTAGCTAATTTAGCCTGACTATTTGCTCAGTTCTCAAATTTCAAATGAAGCTCAATTTGCGCTCACTAATGAGAACGTGTTAGGATTTCATACACATCATTCAAGCTTTTTTAAAATATACACATTAACCACTTAATGTCGAAAAACGTTCCGTAGTCGAGACTTTTCTCCTATTTTCCTAGATATTTTCATTCTGTGTCCAGAAAATGAAAATAAGTTTTTCAAATAATGTCTAAATAGCTGAAGTTTTAGGTAAAGGGTAAAGGGAAGTAAAAATAAGGAAACAAGAACTAATTGTTGAAGTACGCAGCCTGAGGAGCCCTGCAGAGAATCCTAACGAACACTCACTTCTTCCTCTTTCTCTGCTTCTCCTCTTTCTCCTGCTTTTTGTTGTCTGAGCTAATACTAGAGTGACGACAGAACTACCGAAAGCGCGTAAATGTTTATGATGATGCACTCTGTGAGTATTTGAGTGCATACATACAACCAGTTTCGCCTAGCGTTAGAAGTTCAGAGCGATAATCTTTTGCAAAAAAAGGTTTTCCTGAAAGATGTGCACATAAATTATAAGTAGTTACAGGAGAGTCGCTTTTATAAAAAATGGCCATGTGCAAGACAAGAACTTTCGCTCTTTTTCCCCTTTTCTACTTCTTTTTCTCGAGGAGCCCTAACCTTACAGCAACCACATAGCAAAGGAGTACTGTAAGCAAGGATGACTTCAGATTGAGCTCAGTAACCTGCAACATTCCAATCGATCATAGACTTGACTGGCACAATGAAAAAGCTCATACGAGACTTTTTTCAGTATTGAAATAAACACCGAAACCTCGCTGCGAGTTGTTGAAAGAATTCTCAACAATGAGCTAGCGAAACATTTGATTGCCTTTCATTGGAGTTTAATGTGCGGATTCTTTCCACGAATGAATTTCCATTTTGAATAACTGGTAGAGTTTCTAAAAGTGACAAAATGCTTGTGTAGATTTACTCCAGTCCACTGAATTAGTAGTTTATGAAAAATAGGCAGCAGAGTCTTAGAAAATAACTTTTCAAAGGCTATTTCGCGATAATTCGATCTTTTTGCCCATTCTTTTTGAACAATACCGCTCACATTTTTTTGAAAAAAAAACACGCGAATGTCGCATCATGTATGAACATCACCGTAGCGTGGCCATATCTCGCTTCAGAATGGACGAACTCTCAATCCAAGGGCATCTTTCGACTCAGCTCGGCGCGGCGCATCTTCTGATATGTAGAAGTGTCTACTTGGACACAGTAGGAGGTCAGATTACACGAATCATTCTAGATTGCTTGGTAGCTTGAGTGCAATGAATAAGCACACTGGGTAACCTACCGTAGCAAAAATTCGAAATGGTTTGTGGAATCTCGCCTCCTACTGTGTCCAAGTGGACAATTCTATATATCAGAAGATGCGCCGCGCCCAGCTGAGTCGAATGGTGGCTTTAGATGCAGAATTCGTCTACTCTGAAGCGAGATATGGCCACGCGACGGTAATGTTCATACACAATGCGACATTCTCGTCTTTTTTTTCAAAAAATGTGAGCGGTATTGTATCAAGGAAAGTCCTTGCTTTTGCTTTATTTTAGTGTTTATGGTATTATAGGGTGCGGAAAAAGTACTGTCCCTTCAGCTTGGCTCCTGAGATACCTTAAACACAGGGCAAATCTCTAGTTTTTTGATTCCCATACGTAGGCGAGATCTTTTAGATTAGATAAAGATAAGTTTGATTTGATACTATTCCCTTCTGTCCGTTTGAACGAGTGATAACAGCGCGCAAGAACATTAATGATGCGGACAGCATACAAGCGCAATTTTCGACCGTAACTACATATACCACCAGAATTGATATAAGGTACAAATTGAGCTGGTATGTATGTAGCGCAAGATCTCTTCTCCAATATTGTGTACCAATTATAGATGAATCGTGGATTGGTGACTCTTGTTTTGACCAAATAAGAAAGCTTATATCACACGCAAATCGCAAAAATTCTCGAAAAGAGGCGGTCAGGACTGCGCTTACCTAATGATTTGGATTCAAACTATGATTCAAAATCCCAGATTCCAACAAAAAGTAATAAGAATAATGAAAAGAGCATCGGACTTCGTCTACATCACCATTTTGGAGCGATAAACGATTATACCTACCGATTATACCTATCTCTGTGCCAAGTTTTTCATAGTACTCAATTTACTCCGCAGCCACTTTCTTGTTAGAAAAATTCACAGCTTTCTCCTAGTGCAACTGCTGACTAGCTACCTTCAGAATATTTCGGGATCCATATATGATACTAGCTGGCTTACCCGGCTCCGCCGTATCCGGACCAAACTTGGCACACATACACTTCGGGCCCCGGCGGGTGTCACAGTCCACTTTTCGTTATCGATCGATGTCGATTTTACCGATTATCGATTTTTTTGCAGAGTTCACATACAGGGCTAGGAGTTGGCACAGGGGGGGAAGTGAGCATGGGAATTCCTAATACAATATTAGTTTTCAGAATTATCTATTACTTTTATTGATTTTATCGATTTTTTGTAAATTTTGACATGCGAGGCTGGGATTTTGCACAGGGGGGTAATCGAGCATGCTGATTACGAACACAATATTAGTTTTCAGGATCGTCCATTACTTTTATCGATTTTATCGATTTTTTTTTGTAAAGTTTGACCTGCGGGGCTGGGGGTTTGCACAGGGGGGTAATCGAGCATGCAGATTACGATAAAATCGATAAAAGTAATCGATAATCCCGAAAACCAATATTGTATTCGGAATCCCCATGCTCGATTACCCCCTGTGCGAACTCCCAGCCCCGTACAAACTTTGCAAAAAATCGATAAAATCGATAAAAGCAATCGATAATCCTGAAAACCAATATTGTATTCGGAATCCCCATGCTCGATTACCCCCCTGTGCCAACTCCCAGCCCCGTAGGTGAACTCAGCAAAAAAATCGATAAAAATCGATAAAATCAATATCGATCGATGACGAAAAGTAGCCTATGACACCCGCCGGGGCCCGTAGTGTATGTGTGCCAAGTTTGGTCCGGATCGGTTCAGAAATGGAATTTTCTATTCGGAACATACGTACAGACAGACATACAGACAGACAGACAGACAGACAGACATACAGACAGACAAACAGACATTCAGCTTTATATATAAGATGAGATGCGCTGCGAAAAGGGATCCACTATGACATTACTTAAGCAGTAGAGGATTTCTCAACTTCGCGTGACAAACAAAAAATTTTTCCAAAAATCCTCACTTTTCTTCACAACTGTAAAGGGGAGCTGCAAGATTTGATATGAGATGCGCTGCGAAAAGGGATCCGCTGCCGGGTAAAATTGTAAAATTTTGAAGCCAGTTTTCTTAAAATGCTAGAATATATTCACATCTTGGAAATTATGACAAAGTTACCAGAAAAACCTGTAAATTAAGCGGATTTTTTGAATTTAATTTCCGAGGACAGTACTTTTTCGGCACCCTGTAGAATTGTGGTCCATTCTTTTAGCAGTTGGCTAAAATGACACAACTCGGGTACCTACAAATATGCAGATGTGTAATCATACTTCCTAAATATTCTATAGCCTAAACCTAAATAGTCTATAGCCTAAACAGAAAGAAAAAAGATAAACTTGCTGTAATACCTGTACATCTACTGTGTTTTTGCCGGATCGTTCACCTCCGCCAAGCTGTTTCAGCACCACTCTGCGCTGTTTACCTATTTTGACCTGCAAATAATCATTTATATTACCGTAATTGCAATCAAACACGGTTCTAAGCAAGAATTCAGCTTAAAAAAAAGACGACATATAGAGCAGCATGCTGGGGAAGGAGCATGATTACCAACAAGCCAAAAAAACCTTGACAGTTTAAGTTGCTTGGGTGTGAAGATCCATTATGGATATAGGAAACTTCTATTTGAATATTAAATTCATTATTTTGTTTGTTGAACATGCAGTCGACGCATTAACAACTCTGTATTACACTGATTGTGAGCGAAAACATTGCGATTCAATCTAGGGTGTTAAACAGGTGGTAATGGATACTTGTTCGGCTTCTTTGTAATCTTTTTTGAGTGTTATTGAGATTACTCCTCCTCTACTACATCAATAGACTCTGACAGATGTTATTGAGGGAAACATTAGCACTACTGAGCCCATAAATGCTACTAGTAGAGCAAGACCCCACATGAGTTCTAGCATCTCATAAGAGCGTCAATAGCACATGCCCTACTCTTGAAAATGATGATTGTAGATCATAGAATATATGCAAGTAAAAGAAGATTGAAATCAACACACTTCATCCATCAGTGGATCCTCAAAGGTCTGTGTTTCCGGTCTGCTCAATTTTTCTTTTGGCCACAAAAGCTTGAAGCAAGCAAAGTAGATTTTAGCGCATTTTTTACGGTGCTTTTGTCTCTTAGTGCGCTACCATGAATGAACAGTGGTGCTATGCCTACAAAAAAACTGGACTTGAAACTTTTGCATTTTTTCGTTTAATTAAAAAGTCGTTTCGATGGTATACGCATCCTTCTAATACATTTCACGTGGGTTTCCTCCATACAATATGCAGCGTGCTAACACGGGACAACTGTCAAAATTATTTGCCTTCTAATACATATAAGTACGTTTCTCAAGGTTTTATGAGCAAACTTTCTTATGAAAAACTTCTTGCAGTACACATGCGTAAAACTATGAGTACTCCGAGCACAATGATTAGTTCAAATGAACGGAAAAGTATGATAACGAAGGAAGGATAAACAGCAAATTGAGTTGCTAATTCTTTACATGAGCGTACGAATATGGTGACCAAAACTGAAATAAGGGAATGGAAAAATTGCCACTTCTCATTCAGGTCAGATTTGTGCGCAATAAAAAAGTGAACGTTTTGGTAGACTAGTTCCAACATCTTCTGCGTGAAAAATAAGTCACATCATTGTTACAGTCAGTACAAATGATTCCCTTTATTTTAAACCCCTTTTCAACCACTTGAAGGCGTTCTCAACGTGCCATTCATTACGCGGGCAGGAAAGAAGATGGAGGACCCATATATTTTTTCTTACACTAATTTTGTTGTTGAATAAATTCGTAATGTTCCAAATACATCTATTTTCTTATGATTTATACGGTCTTCCTTACGATCTGCGCGGTAATACAGATTCCATACTTTCCTTTTCTCACAACGCTTTTTAAGCGCTTTTTAAGTGAAACCAAATCTAAATGGGTGAAATATTTGCGATTATTGTCTATGGTGACTGGCACCATCCGGCAGTACAGTTGCAGCGGTGGAATTTGTCCAAAACTGCGGGATTGTCGGGATTCGCGGGATTGTCGGGATTCGCGGGATTCGCGGGATTCGCGACTTCGCGGGATTTGCGGGATTCACGGGATTTGCGGGATAAGCGGGATTTAGCTATAACTTCTTTTAAAATAGCTTTGTTTGTAATCTGAGTGAAGATTTGGCTTCAGCTTGATGAGACGAATCTTTTGATATACGGTATGTCCGTAGTTCATAGTGACGGGGTAGACATACAATGATACCTTGTTGTTTTCTATGTTAAGGCTTTTGTGAACATTTATCACAGTGTAAATCGCGTATAGGAGGTTCTGGTACGGAGCTCTCGTTATCGAAAACTATCGCGAAAAATTGGGCAGTTTTCATCTACCCTTATCACTGATATAAGCATTTTATCATTTATCACTGATAATAACACATTTTTGGATCATTTTTTGCATATGGTAAGGAAAGTACTGTAGGAAAAGCTGTGTGAATTTCTATCGCTCTTTCTCTCATTATAAGTGATCTACAGGCTTTTTTAGTTCTATTGCTCGGTGCAATTGGTAGATCCCTCGCTGCAGCAATCGATCGATTTTTCATCGGCACATGCCATTGCTGCCAATTCTTACCTAGAATGGCATTTTTGCTTCAACTCGCTTCACGCCGAAGCCTGGACTGAAATTCTGCACCTATATGAAAGATGAACGTGGAAATCGAACGCATGAATTTGAGCCATTCTTATCTGTCGTTATCATTGATATCATCATTTTATCATTTATCACTGACGACACAAAATTGGATCATTTTTGATATACAATAAGAAATGTACTTTAGAAAACGCTGTGTGAGTTTTTATCGCTCCATCTCTTATAGTACAAAACCACTCACAGAACATGCAAAATTTCCGGGAATTCCGCGAAATTCATGTGAATCACGCAAATTACGCAGGGCCATAACTTCTTTCCGAATGAGTATATTCAAAATCCGAAAACAACGTTGTATTCAGCTCGTCAAGACGAATCTTTTGATATACAGGTTGTCTTTAATATCTTGTTTTCAATAATCTTGAATTTGCATGCCGACGCCTCTTCGCATGGGTGTAACGCAACAAGCATCACACATAAGAGACTGCCATGGGCACCGTTCGATAGTACTCTTTCACTAGATTATCGTGCGCTAAACAGCTGCCGAAGACTCTCTTTCAAAATAGATAGAAGAGCTGATAAACTCTGGAAAAATTAAGCTGTTCCAAGTTTTACTAGCCGTAACTTTCTTTAGAATGAACATTTTCGAAATCAGAAGGCAGATTTGTGTTCATCTTGTCAGGTCGAATCTTACTGTATACAGCATGTTCTTGAAGTTCCGTTTTCAATTTTTTCAAAATTTTCTGCGCGCGTATATTCACAAGGTCGCAACGCAGCGCACATCAAACATAAAAGACTCATTAAGCACTGTTGGATTGAGGATTACAGGGTCTTCTTGGATAGATACGGTGAGGTGACTGTAACTGCATCACGAAAACTCGTAACTTCGCCTCCACCTCTCACGTGTCTGTCAAAGAACCTGCCTGCTTGCTTTTATAAGTCAAAGTTACTAGGAGATGTGCTATCGAGTGGCGCAAGACACAGGCTTCAGTCTATAAAATTCGCCGAGTTACGAGCCTATGAAAACACGTCCTCATGAATTTCGCTCAAAATGTAAAAATCGCGTATTTCGTCGAAATTCCACCCTCAGTGGTTGTATGACACTCGCATTGCGATATTATGTTCGCTTCGCTCAATAATTCCACTGTATTGAATATGGTGCTTGCGTGTGCTTCAGCAATTGATATCAAAGCTGTTTTGTGGCTAAAACTCAAATCACCAAATCTCACGATAAGATCCATTAAGAATGTGAAAAGATTTGATCAGCGTGTTGTACAAGCACTCATGGTGGGATTTCGACGAAACACGCGATTTTTACATTTTGAGCGAAATTCATGAGGACGTGTTTTCATAGGCTCGTAACTCGGCGAATTTTATAGACTGAAGCCTGAGTCTTGCGCCATTCGATAGCACATCTCCTAGTAACTTTGTCTTATAAAAGCAAGCAGGCAGGTTCTTTGACAGACACGTGAGAGGTGGAGGCGAAGTTACGAGTTTTCGTGATGCAGTTACAGTCACCTCACCGTATCTATCCAAGAAGACCCTGTAATCCTCAAAGACCACGATTTTTGTAAAGAGCTAGTTCAAAAACCTCTATAAGCAAAGTTTCCTTACAATTTAAGAGCATGAAAATTCTGACCAAAATCCATCGGCCAGCTTCAGAGCGTAAAACGAGAAAAAATGAAATTACTCGAACATCTTGGAAAACTTGCTTATAAGGGTTATCCGACCTGCTGATTACGAAAATCACATCTGCTTAGCAGTAGAGCTTCTCATTTTAGGCTCACTGTGGGCAAAATTTGAGACAACACGATTTTCCAGAATTCACCAGCTCTTCTATCTTTTCTCAAAAAGATTCTCCGGTTGCTTCTTAGCGCTCGATAATCTGCGGAAGCAGCACAATCCAACAGTGCTTAATAGAGTCTTTTATGTTTGATGTGCGCTGCGTTGCGACCTTGTGAATATACGCGCGCAGAAAATTTTGAAAAAATTGAAAACGGAACTTCAAGAACATGCTGTATACAGTAAGATTCGACTTGACAAGATGAACACAAATCTGCCTTCTGATTTCGAAAATGTTCATTCTAAAGAAAGTTACGGCTAGTAAAACTTGGAACAGCTCAATTTTTCCAGAGTTTATCAGCTCTTCTATCTATTTTGAAAGAGAGTCTTCGGCAGCTGTTTAGCGCACGATAATCTAGTGAAAGAGTACTATCGAACGGTGCCCATGGCAGTCTCTTATGTGTGATGCTTGTTGCGTTACACCCATGCGAAGAGGCGTCGGCATGCAAATTCAAGATTATTGAAAACAAGATATTAAAGACAACCTGTATATCAAAAGATTCGTCTTGACGAGCTGAATACAACGTTGTTTTCGGATTTTGAATATACTCATTCGGAAAGAAGTTATGGCCCTGCGTAATTTGCGTGATTCACATGAATTTCGCGGAATTCCCGGAAATTTTGCATGTTCTGTGAGTGGTTTTGTACTATAAGAGATGGAGCGATAAAAACTCACACAGCGTTTTCTAAAGTACATTTCTTATTGTATATCAAAAATGATCCAATTTTGTGTCGTCAGTGATAAATGATAAAATGATGATATCAATGATAACGACAGATAAGAATGGCTCAAATTCATGCGTTCGATTTCCACGTTCATCTTTCATATAGGTGCAGAATTTCAGTCCAGGCTTCGGCGTGAAGCGAGTTGAAGCAAAAATGCCATTCTAGGTAAGAATTGGCAGCAATGGCATGTGCCGATGAAAAATCGATCGATTGCTGCAGCGAGGGATCTACCAATTGCACCGAGCAATAGAACTAAAAAAGCCTGTAGATCACTTATAATGAGAGAAAGAGCGATAGAAATTCACACAGCTTTTCCTACAGTACTTTCCTTACCATATGCAAAAAATGATCCAAAAATGTGTTATTATCAGTGATAAATGATAAAATGCTTATATCAGTGATAAGGGTAGATGAAAACTGCCCAATTTTTCGCGATAGTTTTCGATAACGAGAGCTCCGTACCAGAACCTCCTATACGCGATTTACACTGTGATAAATGTTCACAAAAGCCTTAACATAGAAAACAACAAGGTATCATTGTATGTCTACCCCGTCACTATGAACTACGGACATACCGTATATCAAAAGATTCGTCTCATCAAGCTGAAGCCAAATCTTCACTCAGATTACAAACAAAGCTATTTTAAAAGAAGTTATAGCTAAATCCCGCTTATCCCGCAAATCCCGTGAATCCCGCAAATCCCGCGAAGTCGCGAATCCCGCGAATCCCGCGAATCCCGACAATCCCGCAGTTTTGGACAAATTCCACCGCTGCAACTGTATCTAGCACCAGCCAATCAAACAGAAGTTTATGAATT